TCCTGAACTGTACACTCAAAATGGTTAAAATTGCAAATTGTATGAGTTTTCACCACAGTAGCAAACACTTCAATGATTACAATATTTGAGTATCAAAGGCTGAAAATATAATCTCGTAAAGATATGTGAGTAAATGTAAATTACATATACTTTTTTTATTGAAGTGGGCACGAACTTTCTAAGCCTGATATTATTACTGAAAAGATGAGAACAAAATGCATACCAGAAGGATTCCAGCAGAAAACTTTGGATCACAAGCCATTCCATGGTACGTTGCTCCCACAAAATTAGGATGGTCCTTATAACTAAGTGAAAAAGGTTTTGCTCATGAATCCATGCATTTCAGAATATTTCTAATGACATTTAACAAACTGCATTCCTCACTAAAGCTATGCTTTCTTTAAAACATAAATATCATAATATACATGTTATGTTTTACACTGTCAATAATTTACTGGGGGTTTCGTCCCACATTCATATGAAGTTAAGTTCAAAAGCTGTTTAACATCATATGGTACACAGCACAAAACTTAGCAGGACCTAATCCTTCCATGACAATAAAGTTCACTGTTGTCAACACTGGGTGTGTTCTAAAATCTGAAATAAAGTATTGTGATTTTCACATAGTAAACAAACCCTAAAAGTATGGATAAAGTATTGGACTAGAGGAGGTGAGGAGGAGAGAGAACTAAGAGATGTACCCAGAAAAATGAACATAGCTTGTACAAAGTGTCCTCACACTTTAGTCCATTAATGCTACTTCTGTATCTCCAGATGTGACCTTAGATTTACAGGAGGCATCAGAAGATTCATAATTTATTCAGCATTTAAAAAATTTTACTCTTATTTTTACATTCATAATATTCAAATAAGACAAAAGTTTTCATAAAAACTCTTGGAAGACACAGATAAATAGGTACAGCTTAGGTCAGTATAGAATTACTTGTACCATAGGGAAGATGGAGAGGGCCATTTCAGTTATTTACTATTTGCTACTATCATCAGCATTATAAGCAACTATTATACTCTATGAACTAATTTACACTTTATGTTAAAATGATAGTTTGGACTACCTGTTAGAGGATCTTTACAATCGTTGAGGCCTCATGTTTATCCTAATGCTTTCCAAGTTCCAGCTTCAATTCCCATAAATTACTGATCCAGTATGGGAACAACAACTTAATAAGATTTGTGTCTTACATGGTTATTAGATTTTCATGTTCTAATTTTTCCAACACAGTACTATCCCAAATTTTAAAATGTTTTAACATTATGCATAAAACTTTTTTGATAGTC